GAACTCCACGAAGCGAAAGGAAGATCTACTAGATATTAATTAAATTATAAATATATCATTTCATGTAAATATGACTGAAAAGTTTCATTTTTTTCTGAAAAAGTGGTGTCTATTTACTTGTGACCATGCTGTGTATACTCCTTACCGCAGTATCCTGGTCAGGACTTATCTTGCTTCAAGAAGTAACGTCTATAGATTATATTATGGCTCCCATGGAACAGAACTGAATAAGTTGGTGAAATGCTGCCTTCCACCTAGAAGTTACATCCCCATTGGAAGACAAGACTCGTAAAAACTAGTAACAAAAACATTTATCCTAAAATTGTTGGGATGGAACAATATCAGAAACCTAAGAGTATTTGGGATGGGAAGAAAATATGTATTACCCATTCCACCACCTAATGTGTATATGCATCCACCCTGTCTGTATTACCCATTCCACCACCTAACGTATATGTACATCCAACCTGTCTGTATTACCCATTCTACCAACTGACGTATATGTACATCCACCCTGGCTGTATTACCCATTCCACCAACTGATATATGTACATCCACCCTGGCTGTATTACCCATTCAACCAACTAACGTATAAATACATCCACCCTGTCTGTATTACCCATTCCACCACCTAACGTATATGTATATCCACCATGTCTGTATTACCCATTCCACCACCTAACGTATGTATACATCCACCCTGTCTCTATTATCCATTCCACCACCTAACGTATATGTAAATCCCCTGCCTCTATTACCCATTCCACCACCTAACGTATATATACATCCACCTTGTCTGTACTACCCATTCCACCACCTAACGTATATATACATCTCCCATGCTCATTCCACCACCTAACGTATATATACATCCACCTTGTCTGTACTACCCATTCCACCACCTAACGTATATATACATCCACCCTGTGAGAGCAGTGTATCCCTACACCCTAAAATGTTTCGAATATAAATGTTTGTTTTATATTGAAATAGCTCATTTTGAAATTAAATTTGTTAACTGTTTTTTGTTTTTTTTCTTCATATTCTTCGGATTTCTTCTCTCTTTTTTTTTCTCAGATCCGTCCTACTATTATACTCATGGAACTCGAGCTTCACCTGTAAACGCATTAGGACATGGTGGGCTACCAATCAGCCCCAACAGTTTCAAAGCCGAGAGATGCTAGCTCTTCTGAAGTCGATTTTCTATTGGATAAACTGGCTGAAGCAGATTATTTCCTATTGGATAACCTGGCTGAAACAGGTTTCCTATTGGTTCAATGAGCTGAAACAGATTTTCTGTTAGATATCAGGCTGAAACAAATTTTGTATTGGATAAATCGACTGAAACAGATTTTCTGTTGGATAAATCGATTGAAACAGATTTTCTATTGTATAAACTGGCTGGAACAGAATTTCTATTGGATAAATCGGCTGAGGTAAGTCGTAACTGCTCAATTCTCCGCAAGAGATGAGGAAATGTTCAATAGCGCCATCTACCTCTAAAGGCTAAGTGATCTTTTAATAAAGATACTAATGATAAAGAGAAGGAGAAGAAACTAACTTTGAAGATTGATTGTAACATCGACAAAGTTCCTGCTATACATTTTCTTCAAAAGAAAAGTTCGAGCTGTAAAATGAGCTTGGTAAAAAAAAATACAAAAACTAGTTGAAAAGACATTTCTCTTTGTTTGAACTAGAGTATATATTGTTTGTTATGTCATGTTTTTAGACAAATCATTTCCTACACCTATCATAACCTCCTTTCCTGAACACTGTAATCAATTTGTTTATGTGATGAAAGACATTATTGTTATTTTTCTAGGAAAACGCCAAGAGGTGTAGTTTAATTACAGAGATTAGTGTACACAGTACAACATGAATATCAAAAGTAAGATTTCGTATACGAAGGGCTGGGCCACTGTATTTAAGGTGTGGGATCAGAATTCTTTTAGAACGATACGGTAATGTTTATCTTCTCGACGTTTCGCTTTAGAAGGGAACAGAAACAAGATGTCATAGTCACATTACTTATAGTCATATTTGTATTTTTGTTGTGTATAAATTAATGATTTCCTAAAGTATTGCTCAGTGAGGCTCATTGTCAAGGTTTTATAGGTTCACGATCCTTTTTATTAAAACAGTTTCAAGTCGCGATCCTTTCTGTTAAAACCGTTTCTATTCACGATCCTTTCTATTAAAGTAGTTTTTATTAACGATCCTTTTTATTAAAACAGTTTCAAGTCGCGATCCTTTCTGTTAAAACCGTTTCTATTCACGATCCTTTCTATTAAAGTAGTTTTTATTAACGATCCTTTTTATTAAAACAGTTTCAGTTCACGATCCTTTCTGTTAAAACCGTTTCTATTCACGATCCTTTCTATTAAAGTAGTTTTTATTAACGATCCTTTTTATTAAAACAGTTTCAAGTCGCGATCCTTTCTATTAAAGCAGTTTCAATTCACGATCCATGAAACATGAACTAATGTACACTTCCTTATGTGTTTAATTTTTCCCTGAATCTCATCATAACACAATTCAACATCAGTTTTTACCAGCGTAAACAAACTTAAAGTATTTTGAAGATACTTAAATGTGAAAAAGAACCTGTAATAGTCGCATTTGCTGAGCTAGCCTAGCCGTACCGGCTGTTTTAATATTAATTAAGCACTTTAAAGAACCTGTAAGAGTCACACTTACTGGACTGGCCTAGCTGTACCGGCTGTTTTAGTATTAGTTAAGCTCTTTAATAACCTACAAGAGTCACACTTACTGGACTAGCCTAGCTGTACCGGTTGTTTTAGTATTAATTAAGCAATTTAAAGAACCTGTAAGAGTCACACTTACTGGACTAGCCTAGCTGTACCGGCTGTTTTAGTATTAGTTAAGCACTTTAAAGAACCTACAAGAGTCACACTTACTGGACTAGCCTAGCTGTACCGGCTGTTTTAGTATTCATTAAGCATTTTGTTGTTGCAATGGCAGAGTTGTTCTCGGACTTTCTAGGATGGTAAAATATGGTTCTTGTTTTTTTATCTATCATGATGGGTTTGATTTATAGTGGGGGGGGGGGGTAAGGGGGTTGGTGAATTATGTTTCAGTTACTTTACAGTGATCAGTGGTTACGACGCCATAATGCTGTAGTGAACGTTGTATACTTAACAATCGCGATATCCTGTTCAAAACAATAACTATTTAGTCCTCGTATTTCACGATTATAAACTAATTTGTAGAAAATTTGTTATACAGTAAAGTGTTAGGCCTCGTACTTCAGAATCTTAAACTAATGTGTATATAATTCAAGACACAGTGAAGAGTTAGGCCTCGTACTTCAGGATCTCAAACTAATTTGTAGAAAATTCAAGATACAGTAAAGTGTTAGGCCTAGTACTTCAGGATCTTAAACTAATTTGTATATAATTCAAGATACAGTGAAGAGTTAGGCCTCGTACTTCAAGATCTCAAACCAATTTGTAGAAAATTCAAGATACAGTAAAATGTTAGGCCTCGTACTTCTGGAGCTTAAAATTCGTGTCTAGAAAATTTGTTATACAGTGAAGAGTTAGGCCTCGTACTTCAGATCTTAAAATTCGTGTGTAGAAAATTCAAAATACAGTAAAGTGTTAGGCCTCGTACTTCGGATCTTAAAATTCGTGTTTAGAAAATTAATGATGTAGAAAATAAGAATAAGCAGGTTTATATCATTGCTATTAATACTGAGGTGATACTCTGAAATTGTAGGTTTAATACTGCACATAATTTAAAGATTTTTATATATATATATATGACGAATATTGTGTGATTATTTTTTCTTACGAAATAAGATGATAGTTCAAAATATACTGTTCCTTCTTGTTCTACTTAATTTATTAGAATCACATGTTCTGTTTGGTTCGACTTTTTGCACGAAGAGATTAACTGCTCTCAATCATTCAATGACTTTTTTATTTCTTCATTATTTTGTTCCAGAACAGATTTTAATTCAGCTTTAGTCTACAGGAACTACTTAGATAATAACATCTGATTTTTTGTTTACATGTTTCGTCCTTATTATGAGTGTTTCTGTAAACAGATTCTCACTTGAGTTTTTGTGTTTATATATTTTTGATGAAAATGTTTCGTCTACCATTGGGACTTTATGGTTCTTCAAAAACCAAACTTTACTGGTAACGTGAAAAATATGAGAAATAAATTTTTGATTTTAAACGAAACGTTCTTTCGTCAATGCCTAAGGTTTTACTATCTTGTTATAGTTTCGTTCAAAGCGTTAAAGGCTCTAGTTACTGAACAAAGAACCGATACAAATAGTTGACATTACTAAGTACCATGTTTTCTTAAAATATTTACAGTAAGGTTGTGGCGATCGGATACCAAGTTTAGTTATTAATTAGTAAAAAACCTCTATTCCTATTTATATATTTATATATATTATATGTATTTATTATTATTATCATTATATAAAACGAGATAATAATCACTATCAGCCCAAACATAGGGTAAAAACTAATTAGTTAATAGTATGTATTTATATATATATATATATATATAGAGAGAGAGAGAGAGAGAGAGATAATAACTAATTAAAATTAATAAGAAAGAACAAC